CCCCCCCCCCCCCCTTCCTCCTCTCCCCCTCCTCCCACGTATAGTGTCAAAGAAGGAAGAACCAAACTCCATTGAAGGAAACAACCCGTGGGTGGGAAATATACAAATGCTTGTGAGAAATGCCGGCAGTTGGACAGTTGGTTAACACCTTAATTCACGGTCTGCAGGACCTACGAATCCATTCGATACCTCTCGGCGCTTCCGCTACCTTCCCGATTTTCTGGTCAAATCTCTTCATCTGTGTTTCACCTTATTCATTTTCCTCTTAAATTAGCTTGAAAATAGAGTTGGAGAGAGACATCCCAATGTGCTCTGCGTCTCTGATGCCAAGGAGTGGAAGGAGTGAACCGCAAAAAAGTGAAGTACGGCTTGTGCGGGTCTACTATGGTCCATAAAAACGCCTATGTCAGAATATTGGAGCTTTTCGCTTTAACCCAAAGAATGTAGGAGGACCAGGTTAGGTTGGAAGCTGACCTTGTGCAAAGCTGGTCTTAAGAAGTATCGACCAGTACAACACTCTCACTGAGAGAGCGCAGACTTTGGTGTAAAAGGCGTGGGGGACGTTCGATTCGTGCGATTCTGGATGCGCGCGGCAAATTACGCGGCGAAATTCGGTGCGTTGGACGACTGGGGGGACGGAACTTACGTGCATCCAAGGATGTGCGCGGCAAGTTGCGCGGCGAATTTCGTATCGATTTGAACGACTTTAGCGTCTATCATTGGGGGTCCAAAGATGAAGTAGAGAAGATTAGCACGATCTACTAAACTACTTTACTTCAAGTTTGTGCTCTAATAATAGGCGCGAGAGTCGTACAAACCGTCACGAACTTCGCCGCGCGCCTCCTCGGACGTACGTATCTACCCATACCCGAACGACTACAGCGTTTATCATTGGGGCCCAGATCTGAAGTAAAGTAGTTCAGTAGGATTGTCCGACCTACCGAAAAACTCTAATTCAAGTTTGTGCCGCAGCAACAGGCGCCAGAGTTGTTTCAATCATCGCGAATTTCGCCGCGCAATTTGACGCGCGCACCCAGAATCGCCCGAATCGGCACAAACCCAGAAGGCGTAGCGTCCTTGGTTTCGTATTTGCCAGTCCTTATATTCAGAAAAGTATGTACTTTCTCAAGCATGTCTTGCCACCTACGGTAGCTTGCTGCTTTGCAAACGCTTTTAGGAAAACTTTTATTCGAATACATATTATTGCATTTGACAGAGATTAAGGTCTGATTTAAATTATGCTTAACATCATGCAAAATTACTTAACAACAAACAAAAAACAACAACTATTGATGATTAAGCGAACAGTTCTGGTTTGATATCCATAGATGTACTTGTCATAGCGGTGGTACTACTGGATTGAGTCGATTCCAATCTTGGCTTTCGTTTCCTCTTCATAATTTCATCCTTTCGTAGTGTTACCGGTCGTTTGCAATTGTTCTTGCGGAAGTACAGGTTACAAGCACTGAAATATTTGTTTGTATTATGTATATGTATATGATATGTATACATGTGTTGTATTATGTTAATACTGTGAATTTGAAGGACGGGAAAANAAAATTCGAAGGACGCAGCGTGAATCCGATGTGACGTGGGCATAGTTCAAGAAATGATGAGGCTTCAAGAAGAGCGAGCTGTTTTGCCAGTGGCGGTTGTGGAAACGTTTTTGGAGGCAGGGCCGTTCGTTTTCACACTCTTGTCTGCGCTCTCTCAAAGAGATAGTATCCTACCCGCCAATCCTACTTGCATCACATCCTTCCGCATGCTGATCCCCACACGCCAGATTTGAAGTTCCCGTGAACATGTGATACGGTCATCTGCTCCCAGTGCCCCACCACCTACCCTGGCCCTCGCTCGAGGTCTCTGATGCGTTGCATATATGACGGGTGCTTGAAGACGCTTGAGGGTGTCTTCGGGTTATTGTATGAACTATCACGGGAAAACGAAAATCTGCCCTGTCTCCTTACCTCATTAGGCTCACACAGGTGCTCCTCCCCTCCTGAGGGTTAGGGCTAGAACTCCTTCCGTGCCTCAGAATCGTTTTGAGCATCGCTACAAGCTCACAAGGCTAGGGTCTTATTGTTCTCTGTCTCTTAACGTTTGAGACGCTGAGCACAATAGGCTGTCCCCCATAACTAAATTTTCTACACTGGCCAGAATGGTTAATGCTTACTCGCCGATTCGAAACCTACACCTAGATTTATTCTGACCTTTTGTGTAACTTTTTTAGATGGAATGAGCCTTTAGTCGATGTTTTCTACTTGATGGTCGAAAATTNCTTACTCGCCGATTCGAAACCTACACCTAGATTTATTCTGACCTTTTGTGTAACTTTTTTAGATGGAATGAGCCTTTAGTCGATGTTTCTACTTGATGGTCGAAAATTACCTGCCAAAATTATCGCAGTAGTTCAGGATCCGGGTGGAAATGTAATGGGAAGGGGCGGGGAGGGGGCATATAACAGTGTTACTATAACAAGGAATTAACAATATGTTACATGTTAATCCGTGTTAGAACAGAGGAACTCAGTTTTTCACGTACTAATAAGCTCAAAGAGGGAAGGACCACCCAAGTGGGAAGCTAATGGAGTTTTTAATTCCACCCCATACCAGCTTTTCGCACGACCTAATAATCTCACCCAACTCTCTGTGCCCCCACTCTCCCGAGGCCATGTAAAAAAACTCATTCTCCTAGCTAAAATCGCATAAGAGAACGCACATAGCCGGTGCCCATCCTGCCTCTTCGTCACTGACACAATGTCAGTATAACACGGAAAACACGTGAAACCGTGTTGATTCCTTTTGGTACTGACAAAGTTATGTGCGGACTCCCGACTACCCTTTCCCCCAGTTTTTTTCTGGGATGTTCTGGAAGTTTCTATGGAATTGCTATATAAGGGCTCTACCTACTCGCATGTGCAATTTGACTACCTTTCCGTTGCTTACTTGCCCTTATAATGGCTTAGCCGTCTCCTCATAATCGCCAATTGCTTTCTTACTAGTTCAAATCTGACATTTCTGCTGCTAGAACTCATTGGAACTTATGCCAGGTCTTGAAGTCGATTTCGAGCAATTCTGTGCACGCATCGTTCTAAAGCTTCAAACCACAGGGTCAAACAGTTGAAGAGGTTCGGTTGCAGATATCATGAAATATCCGGATATTTCCTGCACGTGCGATTGAATAATTTCCTTTCATAGCATTTCTACAAAAACTTCCGGAATATTCTTGAAAAAATGTTTGGACTTCTACGAAATTTTCGACAGATACTTTCCGAACACCGTACTATTATAGTATGATGCCCTACGGCAGGAGCACAGTCTGCTCTAAACTATAAGACTGAACCCAAGAACCGCTCACTAATGAGTATCTGAAGGGCACGATTTGCGGTGAGATTGCCATTCATATGCAATTGCTCATTGACTGTGAACTTTGTCGGAGCTCGTGGGTGAGCTTTCAAACTACTCCGACTGTTGCTATATTTTCCATATAGGGATTGAAACCCAAAGGGCACCAAATGCTGTATCACCGCTGAGGAAATTTACTCTTCGGTGAATCCAAGAACGAGTCGAAAGTGCTCGCAATGAGGAAATCTCTTTTTCATTTTCCCATGATCCGCAAGCACAGTTCCAGCGTTCGTCATTCAAAACGGTTGTGTACATTTTAAAGGAGCAACATTGAAGGGAATATACTGTTCAAGCTTAGCAAGACGGGGTTTTTATCGAAGATAACCTGCACCTGGTGTAGATCGTAGATGGTCAGACTACCAGTGATGGCCTGTCCGTTCTCTCAGTGTCCCTCACAATCAGACGCATTTAGCCTGGTATTCGAAAGTATCACTCCATACAATATTCTAATGCAAGGATAGTCTTATTTAACAAATAGTTAAATAGCTGCGTTTTCGGGTTTCAGCGAAATTCAGAAATTTGCCGACCATATTCTTTAGGAGTTTAACTTTAGGAGTTATATGAACCCTTTGTGTACGATGAGCTCATTCAAGTGCTCCTGAGCGGGCGATTAGGTTAGACTTGAACAGAATGTAGGCACCCCAAGACAACTGTGTAATACCGTCAAATATCACTATGCTAGGAATGTAGGGAAGTCAAGCCGGACGCAAAGGACCGTCTGAACGCCCCTTCTGTGAGCCTTTGTGGTGCTATGGTGTAAACCAAAAGCTTTCAATGAAGGGGAATTCCAAGGATCATCGCAGAGAAAATGAAGGGTGTAATGCGAATCTAGGCAAATGTGTCTCTATGAGGCGTGTGGGTTGTGCTGTCGCCGTCAGCGTTCTAAAACTAGGTGGCTGAACAGCTCGGTAAGTAGTGGCGGGACCCTTTTCTAAAGTCGAAGGGTCCTGACACGTCGAAACGCTCGCGTTGACCTAGTGTAGCCACGCTGATAGCGATGGTATGTGTCGACCCATTCCCCTCAAATGCAGTCGTCTATGAACAACTAACACCGACAAAAACAAGCTTATGCTTCCAAAACTTACTTGCACTCAATTTCTCCCAGGTGGTTTCGGCGCCACAGCGACGTGGTCCTGGTGTGACAAGTAGTGCACACTGAATTGATGTGGCACGGTACCGCCTGAAAGAGATGTCATAGTAATAGACAGCCGGGTTATGGACCGATTCAGTGACTTACCGCAATGCGCTTCTTCTTTTGCTGGAGCAGTTTGCGAATGGTGGGGGTCGGATCAGAGTCCGATGAAGCGGGTTGACGCACACACGTCGTAGGCTGTGCCGGCAACTGTTGAAGGGGTGGATACATGTTCGGTGGAGTATCGGGAGGAGTCGTGAAGAAATATTGCGCCGAGTATGGCTCGAACGACTGGAAAAAAAACGATACAGAGAAATCATCTAGCTGTGATTGTTATGAGAGAATCTTACACAATTACTTTACTCGGTCGACAAAGGTCGTCTACAACGAGAAACTCATCGAATGACGATTTACCTGGAATTTTGTTGAATCCACTATCGCCGGTGTGGTGTCAGGAACAATGTAAGCGCCATTATAATCGTTCAGTCGTGGCAGTTGTGTGGCTAATGAGAATTCTTCAAATTGAGCTGGAACTTGACCCTGAGGACCAGGATCGGGGCTTCCAACTGGCGTTTGGGTGGTTGGCCTGAAAATCACTACCTCATGAGAATAGGATGCTTACGAGTATGAGTGTGCAAACATAGCTGGAGCTCCATCTTTGCATCTATCAACCTCTGACTGCTCGTATTTGCTGAAAAAAACGTCAGATAAACTTACGGATACTTCTGATTGTAGGCATATTCGGTGGTAAACATTCTTGGTTGTTCGTTCACTCCATAGTTGTCATCATAGCCGCCACCTTGGAGGGTTGTCATAGGTAATGATGGAGGAAGAAAAGTTGCAGAATCTAAAATGGGTAACGTTTTTATACTTCGATCGTGGCATGCCAACCAGTCAACGATTCTTTTACTTTACCAGAACTGGGATAGATCGGGAAGAGCACGTTTATGCCCGTAGAATAGGTTAAGATCTCCGGGTCTGAAGGTAGAACTGGGTTTTTTCATAGCGGATTCCTTACCGTAGAAATTCGGATTTTCCTGTAGCGTGTGCATCAGTGAATCCATTTCGATATCTGCCTGAGGGTATTCGTATGGCCCTGCAATTTTGAAGCTCAGAAAACTCCCTGAGGAAATAGAGGACTTCCATCAGAGGAGCACCATCAAGTCTTAGGTGGACGTCTCCATAATCTGCACCTACCTGACGGAAGCGAACACCCACCGGCTGCAGCATTCGGGAAGCCGTGGTCAATTTGAAATGCTGTGTCACACATGGTATCTGTAACCGATAAAACTGATCAAACAAAGCGTTCCAATCAATCAATCAATCGATCAGTCAATGATAGTGAGTGATAGGGAGAGATAACGAAATCTTGAACATTTTAGGAAAAAGCGTCACAGAGGAACGAATACGATTAGATAATGAGAACGATGATGACCTTTCAAGGAGTATAGTTACTGTAGCAAATGATTAGATAGCAAGTGTGTATGATACCGGCCCTTATGGAACATGCTGATGCTGTTATCTATATTTACCTGGGACGACGACGTTTGTTGAGCAGCAAGGACCAGGCCAGTAGCAAGCGTTTACAATGTCTTGAATCATAGAAAGGAGATCTGAAATTAAGAAAAGTTGAGAAAAGAGATTCTTTCAATTAGTAAAATTAAGTGAAGCATTATAAGAAATTCAAGAATATGAAATGAGTTCTCTAACGGAAAAGTCGTCCTCAATTCCCCAGTACGGACTGAGAAGATTGCAGCAACATCTGGGAGGTTAACGAGAGAGAAAATTCATGAGTGGTTGGTGTAGGAGGAAATCCGTGATTGTTGTAGGAGGAAATCCGGGACGGCACTCCAAGCACTCCAATTGAAGAGATACTAAAAGTCATGTTAGGAATTACTTTCTTATATCAGCTGATATCCTTTGAGTTTGGCCGCTTTGTCGGCATGGCTGTTAAGGTACCGTTGTGCCGTTCCGACGGCTTCCCCTAAGGTGCTGAGCCGCTATCACTGACAAAAGACATCGCCACTGAGGAGGCCGACATCTGTCAGCAGTAGATATCACAACAAATCCGAAATAAAGGTCACGACATCGCTAATCCGCCTGAATGCCAATGGAATTCGATGGCGGTGCGTTTGAAGTTGTCAGTACTTCCTAAGCAGGATAGGTAATCCTATTTCAGGTGGAATAGTACCTAGGAACTAGGATTCCCATGCCTCTTGGCGGGGTTCATCGGCATCTTTCAGATCAGCTGGCCTCACACAATATGTATATTGTACGAGCCAGAGATCTTTCAAAAGCTCTACCCTTCCGAATGGATGTTAGAACCTTGGCACCGCTCAAAGGCCGTAGTGGATAAGTATTCAGCCTCTTACGGTGAAGGTCGAGCAGCTAGAACGGCTGAATATTTAGAGTTCCCAAAATGGGTTCTAGTTTAAGCTCTGAAATATCAGTAGAACGTAAATGAACAAGAAGAAAGAGAACCATACAACCATATGGTCTGAAGGACCATACAACTCATAGATAGAAAATATCTTGGTCGTTATGTTTTTTTGTGAGGATACTAATTCATCCTGAACATCATGAAAGACGATTGAGAAAAGGAACCCAATATGGATTCGAACACACCAAATACCGGCTGTTATCCTCTGAGTTTTAACGTGTTCCGTCCGTCCCTGCGGAACGGCCTTCCAGCCATCCCTGCACAATCCCCGTGGCTTTCCCTTAGGCGCTGTATTGCTACAACTGAAGAGCGGCGCCGCCGTCCATTTCTCAACAGAAAAGATCAGAGCAGCAATAATGTTCACCATCATACATCAGTTTTCGTTGTAGTTTTATCTGATGTGATTCATTGAACCATCACTGGGAGTACGGAGAAAGTGGAATTAGCTTCACTGACTCAGATAGCATAGTTACCAAAGTAGAGGTTGGAAGATAAGTCCTGAGGCAATAAGTGATCGAGAAGTTCGATAGATTTCAACGCTCATACGGTTTCGAAAATTATATCTTCCAAGCGATTATAAGAGGAAACACAGTGAAGAAATGATTCTCTGTTCGGCAGGTCCCTTCTGTTGGTGGAAGGAAAAAGTCTTGGGAAACATGGCTGAATCACCCCGCACCGAGCCTTCTTTTGATCACCCTGCTCCGAACCTTTTTTGTAGTGGAAGTGATCACAGGTTTTTCAACATCATGTGGTAATCCATTCATATTCATATTCATTCGCATTAGTCCATAGTCCGCATTGGTTTCTTCCGGAAAGCCTTCATGGGATTACTACGTATGTCTGGATATACCAACTTGTAAACGCATAACATTTCCAACTCCCTCCTCTGGTCTTGTTGACACTATACAGCCGTATCGCCTCCAAATATTCGACACGTACTTCTTATAGACATAATTCATAACAAAAGTGATCTCTGAGATATCTCCCTAAGATGAAACTGT